CCCCAGCCTGTAGGTATGCTGCTGGTTCTTCCTCCCCAGGTGCAGTACCTTGCACTTGTCAGTGTTGAATCCCATGCTGTTCTCATCCACCCACCCCTGTAACCTGTCCAAATCTAATTGCAGCCTGCCCCTCTCCTCCAGTGTGCCCAATTCTCCCCACATCTTAGTGTCATCCACAAATTAGAACAAGGTGCTTTTCACCCCCTTGTCCAAGTCGCTGATGAAGATGTTGAACAGTGCGGGCCTGAGGACTGAGCCCTGGGGGATCCCACTGCCCACATCCCTCCAGGTTGAATAAGACCCATCCACCACCACTCTCTGGGTGCGGTCCTCCAGCCAATTTGCTACCCATCTGACTGTGTAGGCATTGACACCACAGTTGCCTAATTTCTTAATGAGAATGGGGTGAAAGACAGTGTCGAAGGCCTTCCAAAAGTCCAGAAAGACTAGGTCCACCGCGACACCTGCGTCCAAGGATTTTGTGACCTGGTCACAGAAGGCCACCAGGTTGGTCTGACAGGACCTGCCTCGAATGAACCCATGTTGGTTGCCCCTAAGCATAATCTCCCCTGCTGGTCCCTCGCAGATGTGCTCCTAGATAATTTTCTCAAAGAGCTTCCCCAGGACCGAGGTAAGCCTAACAGGCCTGTAGTTTCCTGGGTCCTCCTTCCTCCCTTTTTTGAAAATGGGGACCACATTGGCCCTTTTCCAGTCCTCTGGCACCTTGCCAGAGCACCACAAATGCTCGAAAAGCTGTGCCAGGGGTCCTGCAATGACCTCTGCTAATTCCCTCAGCACTCTGGGGTGGAGACTGTGAGGACCTGCTGACTTGAACATGTCTAGACCCACCAGAAGTTCCCTGACTAGGTCCTCTCTGACCCTGGGCCTGGCAGCACCTCCCCTGCGTCTGTTGGGGATCCCAGTGGGGGGTATGCCCCGGTCCCTGCTGAAAAAGATGGAGGCAAAGAAATTGTTAAAGAGGTTAGCTTTGTCGTCTGGTGTGACCACCAGCTTTCCTAGCATATCCTGCAGAGGCCGTACATTACCTGGTACCTTCTTTTTACCCCCTATATATTTAAAAAAGGACTTCTTGTTATGCTTGATCCGTGTCACTCGTCCCAGTTCCATCTCCGCCTTAGCTTTCCTAACAGCCCCCCTACAATCTCGAGCAATGGAGGTATAATCCTCCTTGGTGATGGCCCCTCCCTTCCATTGGGTGTACGCCTCCTTTTTAGCTTTGAGATCCAAATCTAGTAGGATAAAAATGAGCTCTTAATTAGAATGGAGGATTGCTATTAACTTTAGAATAACATTGAGAATATCCCAAAGCAAAGTTCAGAGGAATTAATCTTGTAATTTTGCAGTATACTCTCTAAACTCTCTTTTTGTTGTTGTTTTTGGCTTTTCAAGTTCAAAGTTCATTACTTGCTGATGAAGTACCTGTGGCATTTTTTTGTTCACTGCAGAAGTAACTTACTGATGTTTTCTCTCTGAAAGGAAAAAATAGTGCCCCACACAAGATTTCTTCATTTAGTTTTCAAAGGCCACTTTCTGTAATGGCTAGATGCTGGGCCCGATCCTTTATTTTATCTAAGAGAAAGAGCTCTAGCAGTTCCTTTGCAATAGAAGCCATATCTTTTCAGATGCAAGATTGCTAAATTGGAGTGTCAGCAGATGGCCTTAAGGGAAATACAGTGTAGAAGAACGGAGCTATAGAATCCTAACCTGATGACCATGACATGAGATACCACTTTAACAAGACTTCAAATGCTACAAAAATTCAAAGTTGTTTTTAAGTAGTTTAGGGGAATGATTTTCCTTCCTCAGAATCTAGATCATTTTTCCAAAAAAACTTCCAAAGCACCATGACTTGACGAGGGACCTGTTTTTCCCTTCCAGTGTACATGTACTATTGGGAGCTAGAAATCCCAGATCCTGCTGTGATATGTTGAAGTGAAATAGGAACGTTATCCCAATAAAATATCCAAGAGCAAAGTTTGCCACTGGCTCTCAAAAAATAAATGCCCTAGGGCCTAGGCAATCATGAGTGATCAAATGCATAAGGAAATGATACAATGCTGTGCTTTTAGTAGCATTACTCTGCCACTTACATGTAAAGGATACCTACATGGAGTGTTGACTGGGCAATGAGAAATAAGTCTGCTGTATAAAAATACCTGCAAAGTACTCTCAGCTGCCTCTTAAGATTGGCCTTTACTATTCATGGGAAAGAATTGCTGCCTTTATCTTTTTAGGCTGTACATTGAGAATAAAGAAACTAGTGCATCTGTGTGAAAAGATTTCCTTACAGAGGACACACCATACAAACTCTTCTCAGTGGAGTACTGTCCAGTGTGTAGAAGCCTGTCACTGCCTCTGACAACTGGACCTGGTGCTAGCTATTGGGTGCCAGGTGCAAGGGTAGCTGTGATTTTTCTGCTGAACTTGCTGATTATGAATAGTTCCTTGTCCATTAAACAATCCCACTTCAGAATGCGTTTCCATGTGAGCATCTCTTTTATGGTGTCTCACACAAAATATGCAGTAATTCTCAGTTGTTTTTTTCCAGTTATTTTCCAGCTTCAATGTAGCTATACAAAGCCTCGAATTAAATGTTTTTCTAGAAAGCTTCATGATCTTTGTAAAAAACCTTTATAAGGCTGAAGTTATAGAAAACAAGTTTTCAAGAGAATGTTCCATCAGTTGCAGACAAAATCTGCTCTCTGGTTGAGGCTGAATGGATTGTGCAAACTGAACTGTATAATTGAAATAAAAAGTTCTGTTTTGTTTTATGTTTAAGATCTGTATACTGTAGAACTTACATGGGATTTAGATTGTTTTTTCCCTTTTACCCACTAGCCTGTTTTTGTTGGGCCAAATAAAAATGTGAGTTTAGTTTCTATACACATATATTGCATTCCCTGATGCCACTGCCCTACTTAGTGCCTCTGATGCATGCCATGACCAGCATGACCAGAAGGCCCCAAGTGAGTTATATAACAGCTATTTCTTTTTTGCCTACATGAAAGAAAGGGAGAAGATCAATGGCCTTTTTTCCCTATTTCCCTAATCTTTTTTTGTTTAATCAGTTGAGGCCTCTGTTCCTTTAGCTGTATTTCATTTATCGACTTCCCAAGAATACTCAAAGTGCCCCTCACATACCAATTTTTTTACTTTATTTATCCATAAATGAAAAAATTTCACTCTCTCTTAATGTCTCTTTAGAGTATATCTTACCATTAAATCAGTGTCTCCTCCTACAACCTTAGAGTCCTATATCCCCCTTTTTTTCTTTTGTGCTTGTTCTTACTTATTTAAATCTTCACTGAACCACATTGACCAAAAGGGCAGTGCTAAACATGCCTCCAGAGCTAGAATAGTCTGGAATTTTACATATGTCTGAAGTGTCTTGATTTAGGAATCAAGCTGTTAGGAGGAGGGATTTTAACATGTTATCTCATTGGATTCTGCAGGACTCCAGTCTCCTCTGCTTGTGCTCAGTGTGATGAGATAAAACCAGAGAACAGAGCCAGATTGATACTGTTTATGAAATATTGGGGCAGCCTCCTTAAAGGATCAAGCCCACTGATACCAACTTTAGTAAAGTAATTGTTCTTTCAGTGTTAGCAGGTTAATACAGAAATCATTTCATTAGTGACTGTGAACATCACTTTCTCCTGGTATTGTAGGTGGAACGTCTGCACAAAAGC